AGCAGGCTCAACTGAACTGTTTGCCACTGCTCAGAGCCCATATTGAGAATTATGAAGCAAAATGAGCTTCAAACCACTTGCTACTCCCTTCGATGATTTCCACAAAGGCAAACGACAATATTTCTCCCTTAAAACTACATCATCCTGGCAAGACCAAGTCTGTCCTCGAGGAGAGCTATTGGTCCACAAGAACCTCTCAGAGAATGGATTCACTAGACTCTCACGAAACTCTTGCACTGGTTCACATAGCAACCCCTAAAACAAATCAAATAGTGTAATGTCAAGAGTTTAAGATATGAAATATAATTCTGAGGAAAGTCATATGATATGATATAACTTTGTGATACCTCTTCCATGCATTTGATTTTCAAAGTGACATCCTCACTAAGCAGGACAAGTTGTCCATCGTTTTGGTTTTTCCTATATAGAAGAGCAAATTCAAGGATGTGATCTTCTACTGTTGGTGAAGCAATTTCCATGGCGCACTTTTGGGATGAAAGAAAAGTCCAACACTCTTCACTAAACTGAGTCTGAGGAGAAGCTGGTGGGGTTGGAGCAATCATTCTTCCTTCATCCACAGAATTCTGGATATGTATCCACCAATTTGTCTTCACCATACATTCTTGAATCCATTCTAATGCCAAAGAAGCCTCTGAAATTCTTCTGAAAATTGAGAATTGCTGCTTCATACTGTCCAGTTCCCTTATGACTGACATTGCAAAGTGATAACCAGATTTGTGAGAAACAACCCCACCTCATTTCAAATAATAAAGAATAAGGTAAATAATATTTTAAAACACATTACCCAGTCTTGGAATGATTAACCGAGTTCCCTTGAGACCCTGTAAAAGTTGCAGAGCTTTCCTTGATTCCTTGTTCATTAGAGAAGTAGTATCCACAATCATGTCCCAGCTGCTTCTCTTTGGCACCCCATTGATATCCTGTAAAGAAAACAGATGTAAGCATAAACACTCTTGAACCATTTATAATAAACATGAGTGCATGATATTTCCTATGTCAACTTACAAAAGGGTTAATAGGTTGGTCTAAAATTTGTCCACAATTACTGAAATTGAAGCTTTTGGCAGCAGGAACAGGACAAAAAGTGCTTGATCTTCTCTTGCCTCCTGAGTTCTTTAGTGATTGCAAGGGTACCCTTTCAACTCTGTTCTTAAATGGCACACCCTCTTGCTCCTGTGCCAACTTGATATGGCTGCTGAAAGGATTTCTTTGCAAATTTTGACCTTGGGTTACTTTTGCAGTCTGATACTCTTTGCTTGAGGTGGAGCTCATGTTTTCATTTGGATATATGTTGCAACCAAAATTATCCTTTGAATTTTGAGGCCATGGAGACTTGGAAAGTTTAATTTCTTCTACCTTACCCTTCTTTTTCAGAAGCTGCAATTGAAGGGTATTTGGACTGAAGTTTTCCTTATCTGGAGTGAACATTTCTTCCTCCTCTTCTTCCTCACCCAAATCAGAGAAAAGATCCTTTGAGATTGCTCTATTTAAGATATCCTTCTGGTTCATTTGGCATAAAGTGGACCCCATGCCTTCATTTGGATAGAGATCAGGCTTAAATGTACCCTTTGAAAGGGGTAACCTTTGTGACTTGGAACGTTTAATTTCTTCTAACTTACCCTTATTTTTCAGAACCTGCAATTGAAGAGTATTTGGACTGAAGTTTTCCTTATCTGGAGTGAACATTTCTTCTTCTTCCTCTTCCCCGTCCAAATCAGAGAAAAGATCCTTTGAGATTGCTCTATTTAAGATATCCTTCTGCTTCATTTGGCATAAAGTGGACCCCGTGCCTTCATTTGAATAGAGGTCAGGATTAAATGTACCCTTTGAAAGGGGTGACCTTTGTGACTTGGAACGTTTAATTTCTTCTAACTTACCCTTCTTTTTCTGAAACCGCAATTGAAGGGCATTTGGACTGACATTTTCCTTATCTGGAGTAAACATTTCTTCTTCTTCCTCTTCCCCATCCAAATCAGAGAAAAGATCCTTTGAGATTGCTCTATTTAAGATATCCTTCTGGTTCATTTGGCATAAAGTGGACCCCGTGCCTTCATTTGGATAGAGATCAGGATTAAATGTACCCTTTGAAAGGGGTGACCTTTGTGACTTGGAACGTTTAATTTCTTCTAACTTACCATTCTTTTTCAGAAACCGCAATTGAAGGGCATTTGGACTGACATTTTCCTTATCTGGAGTGAAGATTTCATCTTCTTTTTCCCCATCCAAAATAGAGAAAAGATCCTTTGAGATTGTCTTGTTTTTGGTATCATTCTGGCTCGCTTTGCACAGAGCGGGCCCTATGCTTACATTTGTATAGATGTCACAATTAGATGTACCCTTTGAAAGGCGTCGTGACCTTTGTGACTTGGAATGTTTTATTTCTTCTTCCTTACCCTTCAAAAATTGCAACTGGAGGGTATTTGGGCTGGAGTTTTCTTTATCGGGAGTGAATACTTCTTCTACTTCCCCCCCATCCAGAACAGATAAAAGATTCATCGAGATTGTTTTATTTATTATATCCTTCTCATTGTTCATTTCAACTAAAGTGTCAACATTGGCGGCTTTAATTGTCAGCATACTCTTGCTAGTTCGAACATGAGGAGCACTAGCAGCTTTACCTCTTCTTGACCAAATATTATGATTTGATGAAGTTTTCTCCATTGCTTTTACACAGCTCTCAAGAATTTCCATATCAGACTGCAGGGTCTGGTTTTCATTTTTAATAGTCAAAACTGGTTCCTGTGGCATTGATAAATTGACCGACTCAATCTGATTTTGAATGGGAGAGACACTACCTGTGCGCTTGTTTCCAACATCTTGAACTATTTCATTGAGTGAGTGCCCATGATCATGACAAAATTTATCATCCAGCAGCTGTGACTGTAACCTATACACATCTCCTTTCTCTTCACCAAATAGAGAATCCATAGCAACTTTCTCAACTGGCAGAAACAAATTCTCAAAATCGAAAGTTCCAGCTCCAGCTCCAGCTGTAAAAGCATTGATAATGCTTCCATCGTCTCTGAGAATACATTCAGATTCTTTAGGCATTATTACAGCTTCAGCTGCACTTTTCTCATCAAGAGATGAAAGAGCAGTATTCACAACAAAGCAAGAATAATGCTTTTCAAACGAGTTCTCATGACTAGGTAATGATGGTGAAGCAAAAGTATTGGGTGGAGTATGGAATTGTTGCACTTTGGTCTCCAAAACATCTTCTGCAGATGGCAAACATGAAATCCCACACAAATATTCGGTCAATGTTTCATCACATTGGGCAACTGATTCAACATAAGGTGGTGGTGATAAAACCTGGCTCCAAGAGTCACACATTTTGTTTTCGGCATTGGACATCATAGGTAAATATGATGTTTTAGTTTCAAAAGGGTCACTTGGGATTCCAATTGCTTCCGCTTTGGATGGGCTCTTCCTTTCTTCCTCGAAACATAAAGAAACCATGTCTTTCAACATCCAAGGTGCCGAGGGAATATCCTCTTTCACTGCTAATTCCGCATTCTCGTGAAGGAATAAAGAACTGATATCCTCAATAACTGAATCCACTGATTCAATTTCTTCCATTTCAGCATGACAGCTATTCAAGTTCTGCAGGCCCCAAAACAGAAAGGTAAAGATCATATTATAACGACTTAGAGAAAATAATAGAGAAAGCCTGGTACATGGATCAATCATGTTGCATAAAATTTAGAATAATTTACTCTGCAATTATGCACAATCAGCTAGTACATGAATCAATCAACGCCTAGCTGACTTAGTTCAAACATCAAACATTACAGGCACAAAACACCGAAATAAGGATACAAATTTCAAAAATTATAACACATGACTTATGACTTAGTGCATGTTTGGGAAAACGTTTCAAACTAAGCAACTGACATTTCTCACTTTCTGAAATAAAAAATTGTAGAAGTAAAGAGATACTTGCTTTTAGTTTAGCGTGTCAACCCAAACATCCTATTAGTAATATTACAATACATAAAATTAGCAAAAATTAATATAAAACACAAGTATTGAATCAAAAGCGAGAACTGATGTCATAGAAATGATCACAAGAATCATTAGAAACAAAAATGCTGTAAAAAGATAAAATAAAAATAATAATAATCATTGTAATACTCATTTTTTTGGTACACTTGTAATACTCTCATTTTCACTTGCATAAAAATAAAAAAAATTTAAATAATATAAAAAAAATATAATGCAGCTAGACATAAAAATACATGTATACTCATGCCAACATGCGGTAATGAAAAAAGGATAATTTTATAAAAAAAAAAGAAAAAGAAAAATACTTTCTAAATATTCCTTATATTCCATTTGATTTATTCTAAACCAGAATCTAAATAGGCTAGGCATCCCAAATAAATTCCCGAAACCAGAACAATTCAATATAAATTAAACAAGAATCAAGAACAACGTCGCAAAAAAAAAAACCTCACGGGTGAGGCATTAACATGGCAAAGTGACATTGCATTGGTACCTGCATTTCCTCTTCTTCTTCTTCCTCTTCCGCAACAGCATCCAATTGCGCGACGAACGGGTTCTCCATATCATAAGCGCGACTAATCGGAATCCAATGCAACCGATAAACCCTACTCGAAGCCCCAATCCTGAGCGAGTCTCCCTCCCTCATCTCCACGCTCACCATCGCCTCGATCCTCCTCCCCGAGACCCACGTCCCGTGCACTGCCACGTCATCACGCTCAGCGAAGATCCAATCACACAGAGAGAGGGGAAAGCGAAAGCATAATCGATTAGTTAGTAATTACCGGAAGACAAGTCCACGACGGAGAAGTGCCGCGTGGAGGGCTTCGAGCGGATCTGAAGGTGGTAGCGGCTGATGCTGGGGTGCGTCAGCATGACGTCACAGTCGGGGTGTCGACCCACGAGGAGCACGTCCACGTGATCGCCACGTGACTCCTCCGGGGGCTTGTTCACGATGAAGATGTTCTTCAGGATGGTGTTGTTCTTCAGCACCGTTAGCACCGGGATTTTTCCCTCCTCTTCTTGCTTCTCTGAACCCATCGTAACGGTGTCGTTTTTCCCTTCTTGGTCTTGTGCCTGTTGGAGGAATTAAGCGAGTGAGGTTTAAGAAATGAGATGAGAGGGAGAGGGGTTTTGAATTGTTGGAAAATGGTGAGTGGTGACCGTTTTGTGACAACGGCTATTTTCTTGCTGGATATTTTTATTACGTTTAAATGCGGGTTTAATTTTAATTTTAATTTTTTTTTATTTTCTTGCACTATACTTCTTTTTTTTAAAATGTCTATAACAACTTCTCTTATAAAAGACACAGGTTTTTTTTTTTTTTTAATAAATTAAAATAATTTCTACAATGTTTAAAGTATGTTAGTATAATACTATTTAAATAATTAACAAAATTAGCATAAAGTATGTTAGTATAATATCTTAATTCACTGATTTCTTTCAAAATTAAAGGATTGCCTTTAATTGTATTTTCTCAAATTTATTTTAAGGACACTAATTATATGTAAATTTTGTTTGTTATGGTATTGTTTTGCAGAAAATTAATAATGAAGAATTAAAGTAAGAGTGACAAAAATTGTGATGCACTAAAAATATGTACAAATTAAGTAGTTGCGAGTACTTAATTAGAAGTTTTGATGACAGTGAATGTAAAATGATTGATGAACACTAAAGTTTAAATATAAACTATTACCAATAATAATCATTTTTAAATAACACTGTAGATGTTTTGTTGAAGTACAAAATTAAAAATTAAATTTTTAGTGGATCTCTCTACTTTCGATGAAAAATTACTCTTATAAGGTTGTAAATGCATCTTCAATGAAGATATTTTTTTTTAGGTTCTTAAGTGGGATTTACATATACACAACACTCATTTTTATTTTTTTCAATTTAAACATGTGTATAAATATTTTCCTCTCTAATTCAACATTTCTCTTTCAATTCTTAAATGAATCTTACAAAAAATCTTACATTTTTACATATCATCGATAATTTATTTATTAACTCAAAATATAATTTTAAGAGACAAAAAGTGAAAATGAATAAGAAAATTAAGAAATCCATGAGTAAAAATATACGATAAATGTTATTTATACAAATATTGATATATAAAATTATATTAAAAAAATAATTTTATAATGTCTAAAATATAACATGAATATATAATGATTTTATAACGTTCAAATATGTTTTAAAAAATTATAATATTAATTTTTAATTAAAAAGAATTGGAAGCCGCAATGCTTCCAGAAACTCCTGACCTTTAATGTGTTTAGATGAGAAATTTTATAATTTCTTGGTATTTAAATTACTTTGATTTCAATTTTTATCATTCTTAAAATATTTTGTTTGGATAAGTCAATTCAAATTTATCAAATTTTAAATTGTTGGGTTGAATATGATAATTTGATTCCACCCTGGTAAAATTTATTTTAAAAATATATTTACATGTTGAGATTTTTAAATTAAATTTTATAGAAATAAATATTAGCTAATTTTTAAATATTTAATAATTTTAAAAATTCATATTAGATAATATTTAATAATTTTAAAAATATTTTTGAATATTCAATATTTAAAAACATGAAAGAATAAAAGATAAGATAAAATATATAAGTGAAATAAGAAGAAAAAAAATGAAGAATTTCAAATTCTTATTTTTTTGGGAGAATTTGAAATTCTACTATTTTCAGGAATTTCACAAATACTTGAATTTCAAATTTCTTATAAATTCTCCATCCAAACAAGGTATTTCACCTCAAAAAATTTGAAATTCTTCAAATAAATGAATTACTCCATTTAAATTCTCCATCCAAACATACTATGTGGGGAATTTAAATGATTTTTCACACAATGATAAATCTTAGAAAGGGAGTTACAGGTAAACATATCCCGGAATTAAGTATTCCCATTGTAGATGGCCTATGTGGGGAATGTTAGATCTGGATGGATTTAATATTAATATAAATATAAATTAGGCATAAAAACCTTGCTCCGAAATAAACCAAAAAAATCATTCAAATACTCTTACATAATATGAAAAATAACAACTTATGTCGATCTAGTTCAATGCTATAGAAAAAAATGGCATAAAACTTTGACAAATTTGAGTGTGCTCTTTTTCCTATATCAGTGACAAAATTGGATAGTGTTATGGGACTAGAATATTAATCCTATCGTTTCGCTCACTTCACTGTAATTCAAGCCTGAAAATCTTGGCCCCATAATTTTAAGATTCACAGGGTTCAACTAAACACGTTAATACATTCACATTTTGGCAGTGATCAACCATACAATCTAATTTGCACTTTGTTAAATTCTCAGCTCCTTTGATAAAAGGAGCTAAAAGGGGAAAACAAATCCCGTTAATAATATTGTACACAAACCTAACTGGAAATAACAAGTCCTGAATAAGAAAAATTGAGAAAACAAAAACAAAACTCATTTGTATAACCATATGATTACATTTTCATTGACATGAACTCCTTCAGGGTTAATCCTTGAAATTCCCACTACAAAACAACTACTCCTGCTTATTACGAGCAGCCCTTGCACGATGTCTCAGTTCAGCTCTTTTCCAACTAACAATCAAGTAACACAAGGAGAAGAGTGTATTGATCTGCATATAGAGAAAGATACTTCAAGTCAATATTGATATCAAAAAAATGCTGACACTGAAAAGGTTAAGTGAAAGAATATACTAACCAAGATTATCATAGAAATGACAAGAAGAGGTCCCGACCAAAGAACAGACATAAATAATCCACTTGGATCAAAATAGTTCTGACTAGAGAAGCTTTTCCAGTTTTTCCCCAAAAATCTGTTCAGATTCTCGGCAAGATATACACCAGCCACTGCATCAAAACAAATTGTAGGCAAGACAAGCTTCAAGAGTTGTTTAATATAGAGATAAAACAACATGCAGGCCTTTTATGTCATAATGTTCTATTGTGAGAACAAAGGAAAATTAATAGAGACTAGAACTTCAGAAATATCTGCAAGACTGCAAGCATACAAGGAGATGGAAAATACTAATAACAGTTAAAACATGTACATGGATGGCAGGGATTATAAATAGTTAAAACTTCAAACACAAATTAGAAGTCACATAACGTTGATAAAGTAGAAGATTGATGATTTTAAAATGAAAAACAACTTGTCACAGAAAAGTGCACTGGTTATCAGTGAAATTTAATAATTATTAGTTACAAATAAATATACCATCACTGGGTCTCTACTAGCGACAAACATTAAACTTTTAACTGTTGGCCTTTGAGATTGTAAAGTACACTTGTGCACTTCATAACCAAAGGATAAGAGGGCATGCTAGATGTAAAACCATTCCCATTCCTAGGCATATCTAACAATTTAGGGTTCATTTATCTGTGTTTCTAATTTTTCTATTTTCACTTTTAATTACAAAATTGTCACCTTGTTTTTAATTTATTTCCTGCTCACAAAGATTTGACCAAAGAGCAGAGAAAACAAAAGAAAAGTTGTTTTTCAATGTTTACAGCACAAATCTTTTGTAACAAGAAACAAATTAAAACAAGGTGACAATTTTGTGATTAAAAAGTGAAAACAGGAAATTCCAGTTCCAAGATAGTTAGATTTTTTTTAATTATTTTTTTGACAATTCAAAAAACCTAAATCTTCATTCTATTTATTTATAGTCTATAAACTCATCTAAATCATGAAATAGAAGGCCAATCATGGCTCATAATTAAATGATAGATTACTGTTTAGTCCATTGTAGATGAGTAATAGTTATCCTACTGCACACTAATATCATAAACAGCAGTAAAATCTACGACAGCCTAAACAGCAACCCAATATTTATTATGTTTAACAACCTTTGTCCTGCATGATCATCCTAAGCTTACAATTTGAATTTCTAATGATTCTACACAGATCCCAGCCCTGTAAGAATTTACTAAATGTACCCTCAAAACAGAAATTAACTACCACTTCTCCAAATTACCGAAATTTTTAGCCTTACACAAAACCTTTGCAACAATTATTTCCGTATCATCTTCATAGCTTTCTTTTATATATGCATGAGGCAACAAAAATTTTGCAGAAAAATTTGTATAAATAAACGTATTACTAACATCACAGAATAAAATTCTATAGTTTCTATTGCCTGAACTTTACGTGTGATGCAACTTTTATGTTTTAAGAAAGATGAATTCAGTACACATAAGACTTGGGTAGAGAATCCCGTATCACTATCAGTTTAGTGAATTTAGATGAACAACTCTTTTGACTACAAATACAGTCCTTGGTCCGCACCCTCTCAAATATCAAAGCACCTCAAAGATGCCAGATCAGTTCATTAATACATGGAAGAGAAGACACATGTATCTCTGGTAATAAATCCAAGATTGCTACTTGTGGTGGAATTGTCAAGCACGTGAATAATGAATACTCATGTCAATGATCTAGTTAGACCTGATTTTGCCCTTATCTCAATTAAATAACTTGAGCTCAAATATCTACCTAAGTACCTATTATTTTATTACATGCTAAATCAAAATTGCTACATGTGTTGGAATTGTCAACCATGTGAATGGTCTTGGTAGACCACATTAGTCTGTGTGTTAAGTCCCCGATTCATAATTCCAACAGCCAAGTACATCCACAAGAATATAACTTAAACAACTTCGAAAGCACAAACAACCATATTCCTGAACACATTGTGTTACAGACTAAGAAATTCGAACAGAAAAGTCAGCTTTACCGAATCTGAAAACAAGCTCAATGAGCAGATACAATAGGGCAATTACTCCCTCTCTCAGAGAAAAAGCTTCTCAGAGAAAATACTTTCTCTGCCCACCTAAAGGCCTAACAACTAAAATGAACCTCCTCCCCTTTATTAACTAACCTTGCCCCCTTATATACATGCTAACAACCTGCCAAGTCAGCTATTCCGCATCCCCCAGAACCTTCTTCACCTTACTAGAGTCCAATAGTTGTGCCACAAGACCCATTCTCTAAACCAAGCCCTATTATGGTAGCATTAGGACCAAGGGACCTAAAACATTGCTACTAGCTTTCCAGCACATTGACCTTGAATGTATTGTGCTTGAATATTCAATCTAGTGTATTAAAAGGATACTTCGTATCACAACCAAAAGTAGCAAAGATAATCCATCATCAAATTTCTCAATTTAAAAGAAACCTGGACATAAATGATACAGAGAAATTTGCAATAATCTGAGCTCTTTATTATATGAATGAATATATGGTTTCAAGGTGCTAAAATGACCGGATTAATTTGACAATTTTAGGTATGTTTGAAATTATATAAGCATAACAAGAAATTCTTTTATGTGGTTGAAGCCCAAAGCCAGACAGACTAGGGTATAATTTTCATATGGAGAAATTTTGACTTCTTGGCATGCGTTCACCCCAGGCCCAAAAAACAAAGGCAAGGAACTAATTTGATTATCATGAAGAAAAGAAACAGATTCAAACAGGAATGAAGCTAGCTGCATCAGAAGTAATACACAGTATATTAAGCCAATATTGACTCAAAAATTCATTTAATCAAATAAAAGGAATGCTACATACATGTTAAAAGGAACAAGAACATTTGAAAATTCGTCTTCTTCCTAGTGATGAAAGTTACAAGCAGCAACACAACATGGAATCCTAATAATCCCATTAGCCAAGGTTCCTGAAACGAAGAGTCAAGAAATATTGGTATATCAAAAAGTGCCAATAATAAGAAAGTTCAGAAAAAAAAAAATGATAAAGATTAACAATCTGAGTAGTGAGAGAAAACACTGAAAGTCATGATTCAAAAACTGTATTATCTATTCATATGAATTAGGCATACATAGTGTACAGATTGGAAATCTCAAGATATTCCTGCAAAAAAAGAAAATAAATTCTCCTCCTTTGATCCTTTTCCATTAAATTGACAAAACAAATGTCATCATATTGTTTATAACCTTTGATAGCTTTATAGATACAAAGGTTTACCAGATGCAACATTCTCCAGGTATAAGATCATAAAACAATCCACATTTGCACCAAATTGCCAACTAAACAATAGTTTTAATTCAATCATCCCCTCTTCACCACAACATTCTATAAGCATCAAGATCATAGTATCAGAACATTATTGTTCTATCAGAATTGAACAATGAAAACACATATGAAGCACAATTTTAAATTTTTAATGGACTCTAACAATGAGAAACTTATTATTCAATATATTCTACCAGAAGCATAATGTAGAAGACCACCACAACAACCATAATAACGCACAGAATACTTTTTAACTTTCTGATTGAAAATTCATGCTCATCTTGAAATTTTTGGATCTTTGGGTCATGCTTTAAAATCCTTGCATCCGTCCAGTAGATCCTTCTTTTAATTCAGATTTTGATAGGAAATAAACAATGAACAGAGGAATTGGTTTGATTTAATCTAACACTCACAGACAGATCCAGAAATAATAAAACTGGTTGCACTCTAACACATACTCTAGTGTAACACCAACCATGGATCGCAAATCTAACATACACACACAAATTAATGGGCAATGTTAATAAACTGACCCTCATTGCTTGATTTACGGAACCATCTAACTCTGGACTCAGGTGGACCATAACCTATAAGATCATCCTCCTAGTCGAAAAAGGAAGCTCACACTCCAATATTGCACTCCAAGTAACTAACAGATCAAAGAAAGTCCCTACAACCTCTTAAATTAAAGTACAGAATGTAATAACATAGTAACCAAACCAGCATACGCAAGATTATCAGTGTGTTTGGTAACCCATTATGGACATAATTTTCCACGTCAAATCCGAAGCTCCCTGTTATAGCTTTTGCATCATGGAACCTGAATTCATTGTTGGATCCACGTATTCAACGTGTGTCCAAACACACACTATGACTACTATAAAAGATCCAACCATCAATGTTCCCTAATCCTTATATATCAACCACTCTACAATATACTTAATTTAACACTAGATATTATTCACTCAGCACCAAAACCACAACTAGCTGCCAGAGCTTATAGGTGCCAATGATTTAACGCATTATGTTAATCATAAATTGAAAACCCACAAACCCACAATTCACAGCCCATTAAGAACAAAGAACATGGAGCTAAAATTGAAAACCCACAAAACCCAAAACCAACAAATCCAAAACTCGAAGAACAAAGAACAGAGATGAACAAAACGTAAATCAAAATACTACCTTCCAGTCAATGGCATGGAAAAAACCCAAAAAGTTATCGTAAGCGGGGCGAAGGCCAGAACGAAGATCCGAAGAGAACTTCTGAACAAGATCCGCCATAAGGTCCATGTGCTCCTCCATAGCAGATTTGAGCTCCTCCATTGTAACACAGAAACCGCACAGAAACCTCTGTGTCACAAAATGTACTAGATTCAACTACCTGCTGCAACTGCTAGAGATTTTCTTCCGCCGTAACTTTTCGGTTCGTCAAAACTCGAACCGGTTTTTGTTTTTTTTTTTTTCTGAACTGCTTTTATGGGCCGTTTATTGGATCGGGCCTAGGTTGTACATAGCAACATATTTACACGGATAAAATATTCAAGTTTAATTACTCTTTTATTTTTTTTTATAGATCCTTTAACTTTATGTCTTAGTTTTTATAGTTATTAATGTTTTATTTTAATTTTTAATTTTTATACACATAATTTTTTTTTTAATTCTTACCGTCTATTTCTACAAGTATGTTTATAAAAATATGAAGGGTAAAAGAAAAAAATAATATGTATAGAAATTAAAATAAGATATTTTTAACTATAGAATTAAAAGATAAATTTGATAAAATTATTGGATAAAATGATAATTAAATCAATATATTTTATTTTACAGTATTAAGTATTAATTTATAATAAAATCGAGATAAAATAAAAATTATATTATTTTAATTAATATAAAGTATTTAATGACTTTTTTTTAATAATTAATTAATTTTTTTAGAGAACTTGGTGGATCATCTTTAATGTTTTCAATTACAAAAAAAAATTTAGATATTAATTTACTTCTATATTTTTTTTTATATATTGTAGATTTTTATTTTTGAGATTTTAAATATTGTTATATATTTTATTAGATATTCAAAAAGAATTTTAAAAAAGGATAAAAAAAATACAGTGAATATCATTGAAGAATCAGCATCTTATTTCGATCAATCGATTTTAGTTGTAAAAACACATATTGAGATGAAATGTCAATTTTGATTAAAAATAACATTAATAATTCATATAATATTTATTTAAGTTTTTCCTTCAAAATTTCTCAGTTTTTCTATAAAGATAATAATAAAATTAATTTAATAATTTTGTATACATATATAAATTGATTTTTCATCAATATAGTGAATTAACATTTCTAAAAATATCCTATTATTTTGTTACACGGATTAATAAAAGTGGATTTAAATTTTATTAATAATAAATTATATCGCAAATAGTTTTATTATGGTTTCGTCCGGATACAATAAAATAATTAAACGGTTAAATTTGTCTCGGGTAAAAAAATTCATTGCGATATAATTTTACATGTTTATTCTTGTAATTGTATATTTTTATGCAGTTATATTAAATATTTAGAAGAAAAAAATTTGTCATTCGTAATGAATTTATTTTACTCGAACAAAATTATCTTCGACAAAAAATACTTGTAATTTATATAAATAAAAAAAAATTAATTATACATTTACGTTCTACTTTTATGAATTCTTCATTGGCTTCTTATTCGACTTTTTTTCTGATCAATGCTTCTTATTTGAATTATTCATCAAATTGGCTTATAGATAATATTAAAATTCTTTTATGCTATGCGAATTTAGTATGTAACTTATACATTCAAACTATGGACGCGTCAACTTGATTCGCTAATTTATTACTAATTTTTTTTATTGATTTATTAGCATTGGAAAATCTAGAAATCAATATAAAGAACTTACTTTGAATTGTTATATAGTTATACTTGAAAAATAACATGTAAATGTACTTATTTTTAACGTATCTATGAGCATTAAAATATATTATTAAAAAGAAAAAACCAGTAATTGTGTCATTATAATTTCAGTTTTTTCTCCAATAATTACAGTTAAAAAAAGGCTCAAAGTAATAATTTTATGGATTTTATGCAACTGAAAATATACTAAACAAAAGGCAAAAACAAAAATTAACAATTATCATCAAACCCAATAATGTCTAACAACTTTTTAACTTGAAATTCAACTAACTCGAGTTTATGTAACAGTTAGAAATGGGTCAATTTTTTTTAGTTGATTTGGGTTGGCTTAACCAGTTTGAGTCCGAATCCAATTTGTAGTCAGTTTAGTCACAATAATAAGGCCTATTTAGTTTTAACATTGATCATGTCGACTTTATTGATTTATAAATGTAATGAATGCACTTTAAAAGTTTTTAATTTAACTTTTAATCAACATCAATTAAACAAAGACTACTTAATTAATAATTTGTAGTAAAGGGTGAATATATGGACTCAAATCTAAATGTTAATTTGTAAAGTCTGTGCTTTATATAATTAACGATTTTTTTTTTAATTTGTATAATTATAGAAGAATTTTGTCTGACTCGTGAGGTTTTAAATTTTATAAATTGATCTTTTTAAGGGAATTATTATTCTTATTAACTTTATATGAAGACTTTTAAAAATATGAATGATTTTACTATTATGCTAATAAATAAATATAATTAATATATATAAAATAATAGTATAAATAATAAATATTAAATTTAGTATATTTTCAATTTAAAAGATGTTGTGCTCTTTTTATTTTTATATATTTCAGATTAAATGTGTGAGTTTGATATATTAATATTTTAATATTTTAATTTAAATATACAAATTTTTATATTATATTTTTTTATTTGTCCATGTTTTTTAAGCATAAAAATTGGAAGGAAAAAAATGTTAAATTGATTGATAGATTTGTAATTTTTTTCAATAATGTTTTTATTAGCATATAAATTTGCCCGTTTAACTATAGATTTCACGGGGTAATTGGTGAATAAAAGCTAAGTAGAAAAGATTATTTAATTTAGGAGTTAGGCATAACCTACCTATTAAAAATGCATAGTTATTCACATGCGGGACCTTAAATAGATGAGGCTTACATGCATACTAGGCTAAGTTGACACATGTTGCAAGTTAAATCACAACTTTGAAAATGCATTTATTACATTTAGTATTGCTCTGACTGATGTTATACCATCATTATCTATTTTAGCATCAATGAATTCAACCGACGCTACATAGAAGCTATGATATAAAACTGTCGAAATTAGTCTCTATTTTTGTTTGTTTTTTTTTTTTTTTAAGAGTGTTGCTAAATCCTCTAAAAGTTGTAGTCAAAAATTCGTCTGAATGTGTAACAACCCGTCATAATTTTTACACTTAGTGGAATCACACTACAACTAGTTAACTAAGAGAATATAAAACTGGATAACACATATCATACAGGCATAGATATAAGGATCAAAATAACTAAGTTTCTGTATACAAAATAAAACACCATATATGTACAGTCATCCCAAAATATTCCCTAGTGCCGGTCAAGCACGGACAAAACCGTTACCCAAAATGGTAACTCTAACACGAGGCTCAAACTCCCCGTCTTGCAGCGGTCACCTCTACTTCAAGCTATCCCTGACCTGCTTCCATACCAAGTATGATCATTGCAGTCCCACTACATGGAAACAGAAGGGTAAGTTAGAGTTCAAAAAATCAATCATACAAGTACAAAATAAAATCTATACTACACATGTATCCCAAATAAGTCCCAAAGGAACCTTCCATCTCAATCAATCATCCATTCATCAAACATGAAGTCAAACCATACACTTCATTATCATGACAATCATGCAATACATGCAACTCATGACAGATATCAATGCATATCAATCATCTAATGCGTCGTCACGCATACACTTAGGAGATCTCTCTAACAACAGAGTTGTATAAGTGACATCTCATCCTACCGAACCCACCCCAACCGTTTTCACGCCTAATGCGCCCGCTCGGTCACAGCTAAACAGGATATAATCCTCACTCGGGTTTACTCGGATGATGTCACTTATACAATTGGAAGTCCAGATCCACCGTCAAGTATAACACAACTGAGTACGCGAGCTTACCACGACCTTGGCATGCATAACCAAGTCAATTGTGGAGTTCACCCACCGACTATCCACAAGGATCCACGCACCTTCCCGAGTACTTGGTTAAGGGAATAACCCTCGACCTCATACCCCGCTCCAACACTAGCTAAGGACTTAGAGGAGACTCACCCAACCCAGTGGCCTACCTAAGCACCACTCCCAAATCTAGTGGCCTATTTGAGCACCACTCTCATATATCAATGGCCTATCCAAGCACCACTCTCAAGAGACTCTATGTGAGCTCTTCCAGTTCGAAAATATTTTTCCTCTCCTCAAGTCCTAGGCTAGACTCATTCCATAAGGCATCACATGCAATCATGCATCATACATCATACATGGTCTGCCCACCATCATGATCAACAATCATACACATGTCATAAGACATCACATGAAATAATGCATCATACATCATAAATGGTCTACCCACCATTATGATCAATAAACATACTCATATGAACATATACACATGTCATATCATATTCAAACATTCATACGTATCATCACAAAGCATACATATGAATCATACCTCATCATACATCATATATCATACATACATGATCTAAAACTTCGACTTTAAACATGCATAAACATCAATTTAAATCAATTATTTATAAATATATTCACGCTCGGCGCAGTCAGCTCACGCCTGGCCTAACACCAACCTGAGAGCTCTAAGCTCTTCCACGCTCGGCGCGCTCAACCTGCGCCCGTCCTAAATCCCAATCAGAGAGTTCGAAAACTCTCGTCCAAACCAACAAATCCGGCCACATGCAAACACAAAAATACAATGCATAGGCTCCATACAACTTAAATAAACTTAGATCTCACATGCATCCAACTTATGCATCTAAATCATCAAAATCCTCATTTTTCTCAAAACCCCAAAAATGAGATTTTCTTCAATCCATCTATGGATTCTTAACATTCATACATCAATTGAGTTTCTAAACTCACATGCAACCTAACAACAAACATTCTAGCTTCCCTCACCTGAAGATTGACTCAAAATAGCCAACAACTAAGAAGAAGTAGAATTCCCTTCCAAAGCTCAACCCGGAACTTCAATCCTCCCAAAGCAAGCTTCCTAATCTGAATTTCAAGAAAAGATAGAAGGCATTAGTGATCTAGAGGAGAAAAGGAATCATACAGAGAAATTGGGGAGAGAAAGGAGCTCACAGACCCATAGTCCTTCTCTCTAAAAACTTCACTTTCTCCCCAACCACACAACCCTTATTTATAGAAGTTCCGGAGTGGCCAGAATGGCCTGTCCCGAATCCGGAATGGCTCGTTCTGCACCCCTCCATCACGTACAAAAATCACATGCAGAACGGCCCGTTCTGAAATCAGAACGGCTCGATATGGGACTCATCCAGAAAGGCCCGTTCTCCAACTAGAACGACCCGTACTCCCTTCAAAACGGCCCGTACTCCTTCTAGAACGGCCTGTTCTCAACTACGATTTACAGGTCAATTTAGTATTTTGAAACGACCAGTTCTGGGCTACTAAATCACCTATATTGAGCTTTTGGATCTTCTAAAACAACTTGCTACGTTACAGAATATATAAAAAAAATTTGTTATATTTAAATTATTAATTAATGCACTGTATCCGAATGTATTTCGGATAATGTTTTCGAAGGATTTTCGTTTTTTTAAAGAATAATTTTGATACTGGAATAAGTGTTACAGTTAAAATTATTATATAAAATTCATCTATAAGTAAATTTATTTAATCTATTCATTATAATAAAAATAAATAATAGATCTGATTCATTCATTTATTTTTATATATAATTAATAATTTATTTATTATTTTTAAAATTTATTAAAAGATTTTAAAAAGATAATTTTTACATTAAAATTTTTTTGTGAATTTTATAAAACTATATAAGAATAAATTATTTTATAAAAGAAGAAAAAATTTATTTAATTTTTAAAATATTACTTTAATAAATGGATTAGATATTTATTCATGAAGAAATTATTAATAGATAGATTTAAATTTTTTTTATTTTAAATAAATTAAATTTTTTATATAAATTTTTAATAGATTAATAAATTATTTTTATCTAATTCATTATTATTGCTTTACAAAATTATTTTATCCATTCATCTGTGTAGTCTAATATAAATGTTTTATAATGTTTCATTGTAGAGAAACGACCAAAACAAGTTTTGCTAAAAAGACAAAAGGTCCAAAATATCATTTCCAAAAATGTTAGTTACAATACAAAATATTAATTCCTAAAAATAAATATTCCTACCTCCCATTATTTAATATGCACGTTATCCACTACCTACCTTATAAATATTAAACTATATGCCCATGAGAGATGTACCAAAAAATAAAAAATAGGTATACAAAAATAATAAGCCCGTGAGAGCTAACTATATATACTTCCTTCTCTTAGAATATATATAGTAAGATTGATGCTCATAAAAATTTAAATATAATTTTAATCCTTTAAGTTAAAGGATAAATTTGATTTTAGTCCTATAAATTTAAAATTATTTTTTTTTAATTTTTATAATTTAAAAATTTTATTTTAATTTCTCAAATCATCAATAATATTTCTGAAAACAATAAATTAAGATTGTCATATATTATTAAATAATTTTAATGTAATATTTTCACTAATATGAATATAATAAATAAATTTTATATGGTAATATTTGATTAACTTTCTAAAAAAAATGAATTTAATAATTTTTTTTGAGAAATTAGTATAAAATTTATTTTAAATTAATTTAAGGCATTAAAACATATTTAAACGAAAATAAATTTTGACAAATAAGTTTGACAATACTAATGATTTAATATGGACTCTTCATAATATTTGGTAGTCTCTTTTTTAATTAATTTTTCTTCATATGTAACATAATACCATTTCCTATTACTTATATACGTATATATACAATTTATAATTAAGAAAAACAACACTATTTACTTTTTATTATTTTACGGCTACTAGTGAAGTCATTAATATATAACTCTTTAAGTCTGTATGCACTGATGGCTCAAACTAGGGTTTTCCGGTTACAGCTAAAAGAAGAAAAAACAAGGTAAAATTAAATTAGGGTTCTTCGTATTGAACCAATGAGGAAGGGAAGAAAGATAACTTCATTTGACATTCTTCATCTATTTACCATAATAATTACTTAGACAATCTACCAAGTACTAAAAGCTCTACATATTTTTTGGTCTACAACGTTAACATATATTAGCCAAAGAAATCTAGTAAAATATAAGTCAAAATAATCATCATTCTGAGTGCAGATTATTTTTACCAAAATGATGAAAGTTAGGAACTAGGAATGAAGAAGTATCTACTCTGTCAAAGTGATTGCCATGCTGAGACGCTAAGAAGATACCTATTTTGCCACCCCAAAGAGATAACTCTTCCTTCATCCCTTTCAGAAACTCTGAAACCCCCACCACCCTCTTCCTCAAACTGTAGAGGATAATAATGAGTCCTCATCTTCAGAAGAAGCTTTGCTTGGATCACACACTTTGAGCTTATTTTTCTTCCCACAAACCCATGATTCTCCATTCTTGCTTTCCATGTCTCCATCCTCTCATATTTGGGGCAATCAACACCCTCCATGTCATAGTTGAGCATGCTTTTGATCTCTTTCCCCAAAAGCTTCTTCTCAATCCTCAACCTCTCAGTGCTCTCAAGTGGCAAGCAATCATCAAGTGAATCAAACATGGCTGCAAAGTAGTGCAAGGACTCGGTGAACCTTGACAAGAAGGTCTTGAGACTCCTGCTACCTTCTTGTTTCACCAAAACCACAATAGAGGGGCTAAGAGAATGAACAAATCCCAATGTGTCAGAAACCTTCATGGAACCACTCAAAGTGTTCAAATAAGAAACAAGGTTCACTGCCACAGTTTCATTTTTCCTTTTCCTCAGGTTGATGACCCTTGATGAGCCTCTCAGCAGGCCTTGGAATTCAAACACAAGGTGGTTTCCAAACCCCTTTGAGAAGCTGACCAATCTGGCCTCAGTTTCTTGCAGCTCCTTCATGTTGTTACCAAAACCTGTGATCCTGAGGGATATTCTGTTGCCACTTGTTGCCTTTTCAGAAAGTGATTGAATGAGAGAAGGCCATTGGAAGCCATAGGACACATCAAAGTCAATCACATGTAGTGCTTTGTTGTTCCTCTCTTCCTCCTCCTCATAGGCCTCCAAAATAGCCTGATTTGCTGTGAAATGAGCAAATTGGTAATAGGGTGAGACCCTATAGAGATCAGTGAATGCAAGAAACTCTTCCTCACATGTTGGTTCCTCCATGAGCATATCATAGAATGGAGACTTCTTTGTGAGAAGCCTTGCAGCCAAACCATCAGCAAAATAGGCCACAACACGTTGAACCGAGTCACCTCTTAGGGAAACCGTTTGGTACAAGTCAATGAGGCTCTCTAGAGCTGCACCTAGGCTTCTTTCATCAACAGAAGTTGCAGTTGAGAGAAGCAAATGAATCAAAGGAAGGCCATTCCCATCTTCAACCACTCCTTTTCTTCTGTGGTCTTGTCTTAGCATCAACTCCCTCATTTGGAGGAGCCTAAAGATCTTCCCTTCATAGCCTTCATTGGAGTTCATAATAATAGAATTAACATTATTACTAATATCCCTTTTCCTTCCTTTCTTCTTCCTCTCCCTACCAGCAGCAACTGAAAGAGTGAGATTCAGAAGCTCCTCCTCCTCTGAATCCTCCATTGAAGAAAGAGCGAAGGAGATAGAATGAGTAGATCTAGGACATAGTGGAAAGTTTTGTTATATATTTGTGTTTGTAGGCTTAAGCTGGGAAAGAAGAAGAACAACTCACAAAATTAATTTCCATTGTGCCATGATATGTGTATATATACATATAAAAAAAAAAGAAGAAGAAGGATATTAAGAGATTTTTGTTTTATAATGTTGTCAAATAATAAGACGGAGAGATTAAGAAGGGTATCTTTTTATTCTTCAGAATCAGTGTTTTAGGGGTTAGGAAAATACGTTGATGTGTCTTTATTACAATTGGACTGGTTTTCAAATCTATGAAAGGTCCGGTATGTATTATTTGGATTAATTTTTACTCCTTTGGTAGTTGAGAACGCTTGCAAGATGCCATACGCATTGGACAAGAGACAGCAGTGACAACGGGAATCAAAACGTACCGTCCTTGAAGAATTGTCTTTGCACACTTTTTTCCTTCTATATATATTAATTTCCTCAACCAGCTCAATTCAATTCCCTTCATGCTATCATGTCCCTTTATTCCTTGCCTTTGATTCAATTAGCTAACGTTAGCATTCCGGACATGTGTACATGTTCAGATAGTGATAAAGTCATGATTAACAGCATGCACTGTTGGTCCAATTACGAGTATTCTCAACCCTATAATAGATCATAGAATAATTTTACTATGATTGTTGGATAAAAAGTTTTCATAAAGAAAGATAGTAATTTCTCGCTAAATAAATCGTGGTTAACAACATGATTAGAAACTCCTAAAAAGTATATGAAAAGTTTTAGATGTAAAAATTATAACTATATTAAATTTTCGGTAAACATGAAAAAGCATTTATGAAATATGGAACCAAACAGACTATACGTACAATTTGAACATGAATTTGAGTTTCTAACCATGGTTTGAATAGTGAAAAGAAAGTTCCTTTTCGGTTGAGTCAAATATAGTTGCAAATATCTATAATTTTAATACAAGCCATAAGATCCTTGATCAAGATTCATGATATAGGTAATTAGGTGGTTGAGGGTGTTGTAAATACATTGAATTTGAATTCGAACGATAGACAAAAGTCAATGTATGCATAGTAAGTAATGTATATATTTTATTCGTTTAATGGAATCCAAGAAACTTAATTGGATACCCTATTCTTTTCAAATTAATGTTTCTAATTGACACAATTTAGAGCTTTTCATACAAGGATTGTGGATTTATTAACATATATTCCTCAAGTACATAGGGATCCTCTGCGATGATAATTTAACACCTTGTCATATCCCAAGACAAATGAATGCAAACAAAAGTGACCTAACTTCCCCTGTGTGAACTAAATTTGATTTGTTTTTTTTTTTTTTTTTCCATTCTAGAATGGACTTGTGCTTAATTATTCAACTTGATTTTTCTTGTGTTGGAGATAAAACGTGGGCTATGATTGAAGGGACAAAATGGATTTATCCACAAAGCATCAGCCAATGTGAATATAACTAAATAAAGCCTTGTCCACATCAAGTAATATAATGCATCCCCCCCCCCCCACCAACACACAC